CATATTATAACATCGACTGAGATAAAGAATAAAATGAATATTAAAATCATGATATATATCGCTGCATTGCGCGAGTACGCTTCTAGTGATTCAAAATTACCATTTTTTTAAGAGAAAAGTTCAAAAAAATCTAACAGACTTTTCCATTTTGAATGGTAGTCTCTAAGCTATTTTTTGTAATATAAGAATCTTTAAACTTTCTTATTTTTAATGATTAAGTCCCTGAATTGTTTTTTAAATGAAAACAATCATTAAACTTTCTCTTTTTGAATGAAAAAAACCTTTACACTTTTTCATTTTGATTGATTAAGTTGTTAAACATTTTTTTAATAAGTAAACTATGCATCTTTAAAAATTGGTTACCTACATTCTTTTAACCCAATAAAAGTTATATTAACCGACTAGTAAAAGTTTGATGGTTTATTTATTTTAAAAAAAAAATTCAGAGTCTCAATCATTCAAATTTTGAAAATTTAATGGTTTTTTCATTATAAAAATAGTTCAAAATTTTAATCAATTAAAATGAGAAGGTTAACCGTGGTAAGAGCTATCACTCTCACTTACTGGGTAAGACTTTCGGTCCTTGTTTCTCTCTTATCGGGTAATATTTTTGGTCCTTACAATATTCATCCGGTAAGGTAACGTAACTTGGTAAGTGCTTACCCGAGTAAGCGTTCGGTAAACGGCCCCTAATATAATGGAAAATTAGTAATTCTACGGTTGGATGATAATTTACCCATTTAATACATCAATATCATCACCTGTCTCCGTTTAATATATTAAATTTCATTTTATCTCTCTATTTATTATCTTAAGGTTTGTGTGTTCAAGTTTTTGGTTTTGAATTTCAGTTCTGAAAAATGATAGATTTAAAGTATTTTTTTACTCGAATGAGTTTTATATAAGAGTTAAGTTGAATGAATTTGGACAGATTTTCTACTCGAGTAGTTGAATAAGTAGGAAATTTGTCTTATGATCTTGGCGTATATGTGTTTACAATGTAAATGACATATTAGTTGATATATTAAGGGGCTGTTTGTTTGGCTTTTAATGGTTACATTAAGAGCCAACCTCTTAATCGGTAAGAAGTCAAGGTTGTTTGGCAAAAAAAATGGCTCTGAATGGTTACATTTCTCCTCTTAACCATTTTGCATCTAAAGGGTCTCTAAACCATTCAGAGTTCTCTTTTTCCATATTTGCCCTCTCCCCCAACGTTCCTCACACATCGCTCACAACCTATCCCTCCACCCTATGATCGCCGGTCTTCAAATCCCTCCCCCCACACACGATCGCCGGTCTTCAAATCCCTCCCCCCACACACGATCGCCGGTCTTCAAATCGCTCCCCCCACCCTACGATCGTCGGTCTTCTTCTTCCAACAGGTCTCACTCTGTCGTCGTTGCCGCCTCACGTCGCCGCTTCACGTCGCTAGATCAAAACCCTAAATGAAAACCCTAATAAAACAAAAACAAATATCGATTCAAACCCAAATTTGAGATGTAGGTCGTCTTTGAGATGAAACAGGGAATGCAAGTGTTCACGTCGGGAGAGAGAGAGAGATACCACGAAGGAGTTGTTCGGACCAGAACTGCCGAGAGAGATACCGTGAAGGAGATGTTCATGTCGGGAGAGAGAGATAACGTGAAGGAGCTGATACGAGTTGGGCTGTTTGTTTGCTGCCAGTTGTTAATTTAGGTCATACAAAGGCATCCCTAATGTGAATGAGGGTTAAAATGGTAATTTACTGTCATTCAGATAACAATTACCAAACAACATTATTTCATTCAGTACTTAACCATTCTGACCCTCATAACCATTCTGACCACTTAACCATTATGCACCAAACCATTCAGCAACTGCCAAACAACCCCTAAATATCAACTAGGGGTGTTCATGGGTTGGGTTAATCGGGTTAAAGAAATTTGAACAACCCAATCTAATTCTTGCGATTTAAAAAATCTTAACCCAACTTAATCCAAACGAAAGTGCAACGCAACCCAACCCAACCCAAACCGTACGGGTTGGTTGGGTTGATACTTTGATACATTAAAATATTCTTCTAACCTTGAATATGTTATTTATCTACTCATAATTTATTTTTCATCGTCAACCATTTGATACAACTTATCCATACTTCTTACGTATATCACATTCAGTTAATTTTCCCAATTTACGTATATATGTTTACGGTTACTGAACATATATACGAATGAGTTATATAGAGATGTGAATAGATTGAAAA